AGTTGTGTGGCCACAGCCGGATGGATACTGGCCCTCGGAGCTAAGTTCTGAGAGGACAGAAACACGGTCTTACATAATTTCCCAGCTAGTCAGTGATAGTGCCCGTGATTAATGCCACATGACGGGCTTTGAACTTTCTGTTCAGATAGGTTCTCTTGCCTTTCAGAGCTCCTAGCAAGACAGAATGTGTGACCTGCAGACTTCACTCCGAATAACCATCATCTAAGCCAGCAACACTACCACTGCTCTGCGGCCCCGTGGGTAACTGCTTCTGCGCCTCACTCCTCTGCCAACAGACAAGTTGCCCTAAAGACTATCAAGTTTGGGGGGGGTTGTTTTTGTTTATTTGTTTTTTTTTTTACCGGGAGAAAACAGAAGAGTAACATAACTTCCTAAACCCAGTCGCTGAAGAAAGCTCCACTGGGAAGAAGGTTCTGGGAGGTTCTTCTGGAAGAAATCAGAAGAGCCCTCGAGGAGCGGCCAGAGTAGAGAACAGAGAAGGTGGGAGGAAGGGGTCCCGCTGTCAACGCCAGCATCCTTCACAGCCTCGCAGCTTCTCTGTTGCTGGCGCTCCGGCGGCCGGCGGCCGGCGGCGGTGGAGCAGTTGATCACAGCGCTTCCAGGCTCCCAGGCCAGGCTTAGGGCTGCCCCCGTGCTGACCAACTTTCTGTGCTCGGCCAAGTCCTCCCCACTACTCCGCTCGGCCCCAGGGCCCTCCTCTCATGCCCTCAGCCCCGCAAAAATGCAGGTGAGCAGCCAGAGCCCGGCGGCAGCTCCTCCATCTGCCCCCCTGCCCGTCTCGCCAGGAGGCTTCTCTCAACAGCCCCTGAGCGTCGCGAGCGCGGAGGTGAGGTGACACCTCGTCTACGCGCCTGCAAAAATTTGTCCAGGCTCCCGCCTCCAAGCCGGGTCCCTCCATCCCGTCCCCGCCATTCCTGGGGGAACGGGGAGGATGGATGGAAGGGTCTTGCATCTCAGGCCTGGAGCAGAACCCAGCAGAGCGCGCCCCACCCGACCTCTCCTCACCTGCCGGTCCTCTGCCTCGCTCCCCTCCCCGCACACACACCGCTACTCACCAATTCCAGGGCTCGCAGGAAGGCAAGGGGCTCCTTCAGCGCCCGGAAGGTGCCTGCCGAGGCCAGCTGTGGACGAGGGAGACAAGAGACAGGGACAGCGTGAGGAAGGGGCTGGGGGCGCGGCACCTGGAGCCCGCGGGTGGGAGGTTGGGGGCGGGGGGCGCCCTACCTGACTCACGGGGTCCATAGCTCGCCTCGCTCGGGCTTCTCGCCCGCCGGTGCCTTTGGAAATGAAGTTTGAGGGCCACTACCGTCCTCGCCCTCAGGGCCAGATGCCCGCTGTCGGAAAGAGCCGGAGGAGCGAGGCCGGGGAGCGCGGGGTGCCCGGCGCGGGCTCGCGAACACGGCTTCCGAA